TTCTTTGAGAGGTGATTGATGCGCTGGCTCTCTTCTTTGAGAGGTGATTGATGCGCTGGCTCTCTTCTTTGAGAGGTGATTGATGCGCTGGCTCTCTTCTTTGAGAGGTGATTGATGCGCTGGCTCTCTTCTTTGAGAGGTCATTGATGCGCTGGCTCTCTTCTTTGAGAGGTCATTGATGCGCTGGCTCTCTTCTTTGAGAGGTGATTGATGCGCTGGCTCTCTTCTTTGAGAGGTGATTGATGCGCTGGCTCTCTTCTTTGAGAGGTCATTGATGCGCTGGCTCTCTTCTTTGAGAGGTGATTGATGCGCTGGCTCTCTTCTTTGAGAGGTGATTGATGCGCTGGCTCTCTTCTTTGAGAGGTGATTGATGCGCTGGCTCTCTTCTTTGAGAGGTGATTGATGCGCTGGCTCTCTTCTTTGAGAGGTCATTGATGCGCTGGCTCTCTTCTTTGAGAGGTGATTGATGCGCTGGCTCTCTTCTTTGAGAGGTCATTGATGCGCTGGCTCTCTTCTTTGAGAGGTGATTGATGCGCTGGCTCTCTTCTTTGAGAGGTGATTGATGCGCTGGCTCTCTTCTTTGAGAGGTGATTGATGCGCTGGCTCTCTTCTTTGAGAGGTCATTGATGCGCTGGCTCTCTTCTTTGAGAGGTGATTGATGCGCTGGCTCTCTTCTTTGAGAGGTCATTGATGCGCTGGCTCTCTTCTTTGAGAGGTGATTGATGCGCTGGCTCTCTTGTTTGAGAGGTGATTGATGCGCTGGCTCTCTTCTTTGAGAGGTGATTGATGCGCTGGCTCTCTTCTTTGAGAGGTGATTGATGCGCTGGCTCTCTTCTTTGAGAGGTGATTGATGCGCTGGCTCTCTTCTTTGAGAGGTGATTGATGCGCTGGCTCTCTTGTTTGAGAGGTGATTGATGCGCTGGCTCTCTTCTTTGAGAGGTGATTGATGCGCTGGCTCTCTTCTTTGAGAGGTGATTGATGCGCTGGCTCTCTTCTTTGAGAGGTGATTGATGCGCTGGCTCTCTTCTTTGAGAGGTCATTGATGCGCTGGCTCTCTTCTTTGAGAGGTCATTGATGCGCTGGCTCTCTTCTTTGAGAGGTGATTGATGCGCTGGCTCTCTTCTTTGAGAGGTCATTGATGCGCTGGCTCTCTTCTTTGAGAGGTCATTGATGCGCTGGCTCTCTTCTTTGAGAGGTCATTGATGCGCTGGCTCTCTTCTTTGAGAGGTCATTGATGCGCTGGCTCTCTTCTTTGAGAGGTGATTGATGCGCTGGCTCTCTTCTTTGAGAGGTCATTGATGCGCTGGCTCTCTTCTTTGAGAGGTCATTGATGCGCTGGCTCTCTTCTTTGAGAGGTGATTGATGCGCTGGCTCTCTTCTTTGAGAGGTCATTGATGCGCTGGCTCTCTTCTTTGAGAGGTGATTGATGCGCTGGCTCTCTTGTTTGAGAGGTGATTGATGCGCTGGCTCTCTTCTTTGAGAGGTGATTGATGCGCTGGCTCTCTTCTTTGAGAGGTGATTGATGCGCTGGCTCTCTTCTTTGAGAGGTGATTGATGCGCTGGCTCTCTTCTTTGAGAGGTGATTGATGCGCTGGCTCTCTTGTTTGAGAGGTGATTGATGCGCTGGCTCTCTTCTTTGAGAGGTGATTGATGCGCTGGCTCTCTTCTTTGAGAGGTGATTGATGCGCTGGCTCTCTTCTTTGAGAGGTGATTGATGCGCTGGCTCTCTTCTTTGAGAGGTCATTGATGCGCTGGCTCTCTTCTTTGAGAGGTCATTGATGCGCTGGCTCTCTTCTTTGAGAGGTCATTGATGCGCTGGCTCTCTTCTTTGAGAGGTGATTGATGCGCTGGCTCTCTTCTTTGAGAGGTCATTGATGCGCTGGCTCTCTTCTTTGAGAGGTCATTGATGCGCTGGCTCTCTTCTTTGAGAGGTGATTGATGCGCTGGCTCTCTTCTTTGAGAGGTCATTGATGCGCTGGCTCTCTTCTTTGAGAGGTGATTGATGCGCTGGCTCTCTTGTTTGAGAGGTGATTGATGCGCTGGCTCTCTTCTTTGAGAGGTGATTGATGCGCTGGCTCTCTTCTTTGAGAGGTGATTGATGCGCTGGCTCTCTTCTTTGAGAGGTGATTGATGCGCTGGCTCTCTTCTTTGAGAGGTGATTGATGCGCTGGCTCTCTTGTTTGAGAGGTGATTGATGCGCTGGCTCTCTTCTTTGAGAGGTGATTGATGCGCTGGCTCTCTTCTTTGAGAGGTGATTGATGCGCTGGCTCTCTTCTTTGAGAGGTCATTGATGCGCTGGCTCTCTTCTTTGAGAGGTCATTGATGCGCTGGCTCTCTTCTTTGAGAGGTCATTGATGCGCTGGCTCTCTTCTTTGAGAGGTGATTGATGCGCTGGCTCTCTTCTTTGAGAGGTCATTGATGCGCTGGCTCTCTTCTTTGAGAGGTCATTGATGCGCTGGCTCTCTTCTTTGAGAGGTGATTGATGCGCTGGCTCTCTTCTTTGAGAGGTCATTGATGCGCTGGCTCTCTTCTTTGAGAGGTGATTGATGCGCTGGCTCTCTTGTTTGAGAGGTGATTGATGCGCTGGCTCTCTTCTTTGAGAGGTGATTGATGCGCTGGCTCTCTTCTTTGAGAGGTGATTGATGCGCTGGCTCTCTTCTTTGAGAGGTGATTGATGCGCTGGCTCTCTTCTTTGAGAGGTGATTGATGCGCTGGCTCTCTTGTTTGAGAGGTGATTGATGCGCTGGCTCTCTTCTTTGAGAGGTGATTGATGCGCTGGCTCTCTTCTTTGAGAGGTGATTGATGCGCTGGCTCTCTTCTTTGAGAGGTGATTGATGCGCTGGCTCTCTTCTTTGAGAGGTCATTGATGCGCTGGCTCTCTTCTTTGAGAGGTCATTGATGCGCTGGCTCTCTTCTTTGAGAGGTGATTGATGCGCTGGCTCTCTTCTTTGAGAGGTCATTGATGCGCTGGCTCTCTTCTTTGAGAGGTCATTGATGCGCTGGCTCTCTTCTTTGAGAGGTCATTGATGCGCTGGCTCTCTTCTTTGAGAGGTCATTGATGCGCTGGCTCTCTTCTTTGAGAGGTGATTGATGCGCTGGCTCTCTTCTTTGAGAGGTCATTGATGCGCTGGCTGTCTTCTTTGAGAGGTGATTGATGCGCTGGCTCTCTTCTTTGAGAGGTCATTGATGCGCTGGCTCTCTTCTTTGAGAGGTGATTGATGCGCTGGCTCTCTTGTTTGAGAGGTGATTGATGCGCTGGCTCTCTTCTTTGAGAGGTGATTGATGCGCTGGCTCTCTTCTTTGAGAGGTGATTGATGCGCTGGCTCTCTTCTTTGAGAGGTGATTGATGCGCTGGCTCTCTTCTTTGAGAGGTCATTGATGCGCTGGCTCTCTTGTTTGAGAGGTGATTGATGCGCTGGCTCTCTTCTTTGAGAGGTGATTGATGCGCTGGCTCTCTTCTTTGAGAGGTGATTGATGCGCTGGCTCTCTTCTTTGAGAGGTCATTGATGCGCTGGCTCTCTTCTTTGAGAGGTCATTGATGCGCTGGCTCTCTTCTTTGAGAGGTCATTGATGCGCTGGCTCTCTTCTTTGAGAGGTGATTGATGCGCTGGCTCTCTTCTTTGAGAGGTCATTGATGCGCTGGCTCTCTTCTTTGAGAGGTCATTGATGCGCTGGCTCTCTTCATTGAGAGGTCATTGATGCGCTGGCTCTCTTCTTTGAGAGGTCATTGATGCGCTGGCTCTCTTCTTTGAGAGGTGATTGATGCGCTGGCTCTCTTCTTTGAGAGGTGATTGATGCGCTGGCTCTCTTCTTTGAGAGGTGATTGATGCGCTGGCTCTCTTCTTTGAGAGGTGATTGATGCGCTGGCTCTCTTCTTTGAGAGGTGATTGATGCGCTGGCTCTCTTCTTTGAGAGGTGATTGATGCGCTGGCTCTCTTGTTTGAGAGGTGATTGATGCGCTGGCTCTCTTCTTTGAGAGGTGATTGATGCGCTGGCTCTCTTCTTTGAGAGGTGATTGATGCGCTGGCTCTCTTCTTTGAGAGGTCATTGATGCGCTGGCTCTCTTCTTTGAGAGGTGATTGATGCGCTGGCTCTCTTGTTTGAGAGGTGATTGATGCGCTGGCTCTCTTCTTTGAGAGGTGATTGATGCGCTGGCTCTCTTGTTTGAGAGATGATTGATGCGCTGGCTCTCTTCTTTGAGAGGTGATTGATGCGCTGGCTCTCTTCTTTGAGAGGTCATTGATGCGCTGGCTCTCTTCTTTGAGAGGTGATTGATGCGCTGGCTCTCTTCTTTGAGAGGTCATTGATGCGCTGGCTCTCTTGTTTGAGAGGTGATTGATGCGCTGGCTCTCTTCTTTGAGAGGTGATTGATGCGCTGGCTCTCTTCTTTGAGAGGTGATTGATGCGCTGGCTCTCTTCTTTGAGAGGTGATTGATGCGCTGGCTCTCTTGTTTGAGAGGTGATTGATGCGCTGGCTCTCTTCTTTGAGAGGTGATTGATGCGCTGGCTCTCTTGTTTGAGAGGTGATTGATGCGCTGGCTCCCTTCAAGCCCACCAGACCAGGCCATGCTCACACAGACCAGGCCATGCTCACACAGACCAGGCCATGCTCACACAGACCAGGCCATGCTCACACAGGTACTTATTATCATGTTCCCTAGTCGCTTCAATGCGTGAGTTTCTTTTGATGCATTTCCTTTGACACATAAGCTCCAACCAATCCCACCAGAGCTTGTTATCTTGTTGCTGCCTGGGCCACTTGTCACTGTTAAATCACGTTACCACCACTCTGCCTCCCACTTTACACTCCCACAGAACCAATCAAGCAGCAGATGGAGGGGGGGGGCAGGGCGGAGGAGGGGGAGGAGGTGGGGGAGGAGGGGGAGGGGGAGGGGGGCAGGTGGTGGGGGCAATGGGGCCGTGCCCCAAGTGCCGCACTTCGCACCTGGTGTTGAAACAGCGACCGGTGAGTTTTACCCTCAAGTCGACTCGCAAGCCACATGAGTGTCAAGCAGCGAACGGTGAGTGAGTGGGTGGGTGTTGAGTCGACCTTGTGAAGCAAGCGCCGCACTGATGTTGGTCTCAAGCAGCGAACACCCTCCCCTTTCCCATCCCCCCCCATCTCATCACCTGCGTTTTACATCCTCACTCTTTCGTCTGACGAGCCAGACACACGTGGTTCTGTGAATGCGTGAATTCAAGGCTTTTGCTTCCAGGCTTTCCCTCCTTGTTCCACTTATCAGCTCCTTCATCTCCCCTTGTGTGCATTTCTGCTTCCCCATCTCACATCTCTTCCCATCATCCACCCTCTATCCTCCATTCTCGTACCATTTCCTTGGCTTCCTGGCTTTCCCTTCTTGTTCCACTTATCACCTCCTTCACATCTCCCCCAGTCTTCAATCCTTCTTCCATCTCAGCTCTCTCCATCCTCCATCCTCCATCCTCCATGCTCCATCCTCCATCCTCCATCCTCCATCCTCCATGCTCCATCCTCCATCCTCCATCCTCCATCCTCCATCCTCCATCCTCCATCCTCCATCCTCCATCCTCCATCCTCCATCCTCCATGCTCCATGCTCCACCATTCTCGTGCCGTGCTCCTCCTGTGTTCCATCCTATGTGCAATCAGGGTGGCAGCTTCATGGCAGGGTGCTCCAGCTTCCCTCTTGTAAGCTCCCACCCACTCCCTGTACCTCTGTTCACCGCCTCTAGACCACCACTCCACATGTATGCATAGGCTGATTGCAAACACCGAGGGCCGTTTCTGAGCACGGGTTGATCTGTTGAGTATTAGATGAGTGACGTGGGGATTGACTACTTTGTGGGATAAACCCATGAGCGGTGTTTCACTGACTTTGAGCCGACTCAAGAGTCAACTTTGTGGGACAATCCAACCAACGAGCACTGTTTCGCTGCGGCCCGAGCATTCATTACTGAACGAATGCTGTGAGACGCTTCACTCACTGTGCTACAGTCACTTGATAGCGCATCCTCCGTTATTCTCTGCCCTGACATCCTCCTCCCGCCCCCTGTAAGCCCTTGTTTCTCTGCCTATCCCCCTCTCTACCCCTCACTCCCACCTTCACCACCCTTACTCCCCTCTCCACCGTCCCCCACTCCCCCTCACAGTGACGAGAGGCTGTATGAATGCCGTCTGCTCTGGTTGACGTGAATTTTTTAGTCGGTCCTGACATCATTCCACCATTACCTACCTTCCCCACTCCCTCTTTCAGTGTAACGAGGTTGTCTGGATGCCGTCTGCTCTGGTCGACATGACTTCGGAGTTGACTCGACTCTTATCTGTCCCACCCTCCCACCTCTAACCCCCAATTCCAAACCTACTTTCCCCACTCTCTCTACCTCCCCCTCAACCTCCCACGGTGTCGACTCTACAATCACTCCCCTCTCCCTCTCCACCTCCCCCTCAACCCTCTCGCAGTGCAGAGAGGCGGTGTGGATGCCGTCTTCTCTGGTCGAAGCTACTCTTTCTGACTCACACTGCCCCAACTGCCGCCCAGGTACTGTTGGCAACTGCCGCCCACCCTGCCAACCAACTGCCGCCCAAGTAGTGCTGCCAACCAATTGCCGCCCAGGTATCCCTGCCAATTAACTGCTGAAGATATCTCTTCGTCCCACACTCGCTTCAGAAGTTGTCCCAGTGCGTTACAAATACACCACCATCATCCTATCCCCACACTCCATCGCTCCTCACCTCTCCCCTTCCCCCCTTGCATGCCTCCTGCACTTCCAGAGGCTCTTCCGCCATTTGAGGCGCCTCAAAAGTCGCTTCCAGAGGCTCTTCCAACAAGAACCTTTTTGGTCATTCTACCTGTCACCTGGATTCTGTACTGACATCTCTGACTAGCATTCTGTGCGCATCCCCGCAGGCCCCCTCTCGTGTCTCAACCTGCGCTTCCGCCGCTCTGAGATCCCGCCCCAGTTTGACCCTGTGCAGCAAGCAGGTGAGGGAGGTGCTGTGAGGGAGGTGTGAGGTAGGTGAGGGTGGTGAGTGTGTTCGTAAGCAAGCGTTTTTGAAGTCTTTTACTGAGGAAGGTGTGGTGGTTGTGTGGATTAGCCAGCATTTATTCTGTAAGAGATGTTTATTTTTTGAGGCAGCAGCACGTCGGAGGAAAGGCATAGCCCATTGAACCTGCATCCACGTCTTCCCCTGTTGTAGCATACAGCGTCTTATAATCCACTCTCGGAAACTGTTAACCATCTCGACCCCCTTTATCCCTTTACTTCGAGAACCTTACACTTGACTACATATATTTTTTCTCTCTTGTCACTGTGTCACCCCATCCCGCATCCCCTCTACAGTGTGCATCATTTGCAACCAAGACTTCAAGGACCTTCTAGAAGCTTGCGGTTCATCCCGCCCCTCCGTCGCCACGCACCCCCGCCCTCCCCCTCCCACAACATCACACGCACCACCATTCGCCAGTGCTCGCCCCTCCTCCGCCCCTCCCTTCCGAAACCCCCCCGCCACCTCTGCTTCAGCAGCAGCACCACCACGGACAGCCCGTGGCTCGGGCCGAGCCTCGGCTGCAGGCTCGGGGAGAGGAACCCAGGGCCGAGGTTCGGCAACAAGTGGGAGTACCAGGTCCGGCCGAACCAACGGCCAGGGTCAGCAGAGGGGTGGAAGGGGGAGGCAGGGAGGTGTGGGGGCACAGAGGGGAGGGGGCGGCAGGGGAAGGGGTGATGGGGGCGGGAGAAGCAGCAGCAGAGCGGGGCAAGGGGGAGGGAGGCGTGTGGTTGGGGCGACTGGTGAGAACATGGGCTTTGTACGGTCTAGTGAGGTGACTCAGGGTGCTGGTGGTGGTGGTGGTGGTGGTGGAGGGAGGGGTGGCGATGCTGGGTGTTACACCTGTGGTGATCCGTTACACTGGTCACACGAGTGTCCTCTTAATCAGTAAGATGCTCCTTCAAGTGCTCACTTCAATTTCAAGTGTATATAGTGTCGCGTATGATTCTCTCATGTGCTGTAACCTTGTGGCAATTTTTGTGTACCGTACCATCTTGTAACTCGGCAGAGTGGATTCTATTCAAATGTCTTTCGCAACAAAAACTCAGACAGGCAAGAAAAACATTCTTTTCTAATGCACATGAGATCACATATTGGATACATGTGGTGTGGGATCACAGACTGACCAAAGCAGCACATTCCACATGCCCACCCAATCCTAACACACACACACCCCCCCCCCCCACCACCTGCCCCCCTACACACACACACAAGCACACCCCCACACACATCCCTACTGCCTCCCCGAGCATACAGCAAGTAGCAGCATACAGCAGCGGCGGCGGCAAGCAGCAGCACACCACCACCACGACCATCAGCACTCCGCCTTGCCTCTCGCGCCTCCCATCCCCTCTCCGCTACACCACCTTCGTTTTCGCGGTGTGTGCGAGCGAGCCACCGGCCGCCGACACGGCGCCCTTCACGCCCTGGCCACTGACGTACGCGTTCACGCCGGCCTTGATCGCGCTCACCCCGCCCTTCTCCACCGCGTTCTTCACCAGGCTCCCCGCCTTGCCCGCCGCATTCGACGCTGTGTTCTTCATCTTCTTCCAGATCTTCTTCAGGTTCAGCAGCACTCTCACCGCCTCCTCCACCCCGTCCGTCGCCTCCCGCACCTCCCCCTCCTCCTCCTCGCCACCCACGTGCACGTCCAGCTGGTTCACGTCCACGTCAGCACCGCTTGCAGCCGCGCCGCTGCTCGCCTCCAGCAGCTTGCGGCCCCAACTCGCCACGCCCACGCCTGCGCTTCCCCCAGCAGCGACGCCGCCCTTCCGCACCTGCTTCTCCGCCAGCCCTCCTGCCTGGCCCGCCGCCCTCCTCTCCGCCGCCCTCCGCAGATTATTCCTCACCGACTCCCACGCACCCGAGCCAATCAGCACCCGCACCGCCTCGTCCAGCCCGCCCGTCACCTCGTCCTCCTCGCCACCCAGCTGGTCCGCGTTGGCACCAGCTGAGGCACCACTTGCGGCGGAGGAGCCCCTGCTCGCTTCCAGCAGCTCGCGGCCCCACCTCGCCGCCGCGTCCCCGGCAGCAGCAGCATCGTCGCCCCGCGGCTTTGGCGCGGACGCGGCGTAGAGAGCGGGAAGCGAGACGAGGATCAACGCGAGGACGAACACGGAGCGAAGGGTAGCCATGGTGACGGTTCCGCCGGATTTCGAGAGTTGCACTGAGATCAACGATGAGAATTGGATATGGGTGGTTTAGTTAGTAGTATTGAGAGAACAAACTCAATCGGGTGGTGGTGAATGGTGGAGTCGAGACGATTTAAGTAGCGAAGGACGAGGAGGCCGCGAGGGTGGCGGAGGGATCTTAAGCGGGTCGCCGTTGCTCGCGGGCATTGCTTGCATGGCGCCGCCGCACGACGCGGGGCACCCGCATTCGCCGATATCTCCGGGAAACTGGATGCAAGTGAGGCTAACAATCGTCGCGTGCAGCGCTAGATTGCCAGCGCCGCAATAATGGCTGATTCGGGACTGTGACTCGGAGTTGGACGGCAGCGCCGCAATAATGGCTGGCAGCTCAATTCAAATCTCGCTAGATTGCCAACTAGTGGGTGATTCTCGGCAACGGTGATTCCCTACGTGAGACGATTCGTCCCCAATGAAGAAACAGGAAGAGTGAGGATTTGGTGGGGGGAGAGCAGTCCGTCGTTTGTAGCGGCAGTACCTACTCTCATCGCCAGCGGTAATTATCGGGCACTGAGTTGGGACGACTCGTCTCCAACGAGAGGGCTCGTTGGAGGGAGATCAGCCTGCCGTCTGTACCGTAGCGCCAATAACCTACTCTCATCCAGCGGCTCGCAGTTATTGCTCGCACCATCGCGCCGCACAATGCGCGAGGAGCGACTGCTGCGTGAGGAGCGGGCTAGAAAGGAGAACGCGCGCTGCTGTGGACAAAGTGGTTTGGGTTGAGAGATAGGCGCTGAGCTAGATACCAACTGCAGTAGTGCGGCAATAAGGGGGTGTCCAGCTCGTACATTTACTGTTCATAAGCCCGATCAGTTACCACATTTTTGTTGTAACACTGTATTGAACGTGTCCTGCGGACACAATCAGCTTTCGTTCACAAAACGGCACGCCCCCTGCTCGTACCTCATGTCGTCTGACTCACGTTACTGGAATCAGCGGGGACACGAACAAGGGTCCAGCACCGCGTCCTGGCCACTACAGTAGCGCCCCCTGTATCGCTTGCACAATTTCGCCAGTAGCTCGCTACACTCGTCAACACACCCCTAGCCTTCCCAAAAATTCGTTAGCTATGATTGACGACGGAAACAGTTACCTCGTTTTGAACGCGATCAGAGCACTGCTGATTCGTGTGGCGGAGAACGTGTCCGCGCTCCTGAAATTACAGGTATGTAGGACTCAACTCACAATGCACTCGTTTTTAGGTACAGTGAATATTTTTGAACCTCGAGACGTGTGTTGGCACTAAAAACGAACTAGACATCTCCTAATGGCTTCCGGTGCTGGACACATAATTCGATACAATGTGCTCCAATGTCAAACGACAAGTATTTCTTTTTTGTAATTGAGGCATACATTGATAGGGCTAATGTATACAGCAATAGCTGTTGTTATGAGCGCGAGGGTAGGCGCCATGCACTGGCCAACAAGAAATCTAGGGAGGTAGGAAGGTCTTCCTTGGCTTTGTTCCAAATTGCTGCAAAGTTCGCCGACCAGGCCCTCAGATTCATTTTTAGGCACGTAAGGGTATCAGGGTCTCTCTGCCTAGAATCCCTGATCGACAGGGTCGCCTAGAAGAAAAGCCTGAAAGTTCAGTGTTACTAGAAAAAAAAGTCTGATGCATCAGTGTTCACTACAAAAAAAAGGCTGATAGTACTACTGTCATCGCCCATATATAAAGCATATATGTCTTATCTTATACACTAAAAAAATGCTTGGGTCATCTTGTATTTGGGGAGGTTTTGGGTCTCTTATAAGTCTTATAAATAGAAACCTTTTAAAACTACTTAGAAATACTTTCACGCATCTTGAAAAGAGTTTCTCATCAAAAGTGTGGATGTTGCGAAGGTGTCACTTCGGCTATCATTGTTCGGGATGCCACGTCATCCCGAATACTTGCAGAGGCAAATTTGGTAGTACGTGAGTCAGCACGTGGCAGAATTCGCGTGTTGCAAGGGTAAAATTTTCACTATAATACATTGCAGTTTCGATTATAAGACACATATGTCTTATCTCGTACACACAAATAGGTGTCGTATAAAAAGGCTAGCCTGTTTATAAGAGACACCCGTATAATAGACAACCCCTGTCTACTATTCAACACTGTCTTATATCCGGGTGATGACGGTAATATACTCTATTATAATTAGAACACACTGGAAGGAAGCTTCTAGCCTTCAATCTGTCTACCTGTGTATTCTACAAAACCAAAGCCTAGCTTGCTAGCTAGCTATGCAATGCATCAAGCATGACTCTGGGTCTGGGAGAGTTCAGAAATCATCATCACATGAGGCTTGCTTGTCATCATCATCATCATCTCTTCCCTTAGTCTGTCGTTCTTCCAACTCCTCCTCTAGGGCCTCCTTTCCCTTGCTACCACGGCCCCCCCCCCTCGCTTGTTGGTGGTGCTGCCACATTGCCGAATGGGCGGCGCTTCTTGTAGCTGCGCCAGATCTGCACCACCTCATCGTAGTTGGGCTCGTAATCGAGTAGAGACATTGTGATCAGGTCTTCGAGGCGGGCGTCCTTCAAGCTCCCCCGCTGCCACGATTTGATAACGTTCTGGCGCGAGAAGCCGCGCTCACACTCCACTGTGCTTAGCGGCAGCACGGCAACAACCACTGAGAGACGCACCAGATTGGGGTAGCTAGTCGTCCAGTCGCTTGTCTTCAGCATTGCTGTTAGGCCGGCGTGGAAGTTGCGCTCATTCTTCGGTGCACCTGCGAGGACGGGGCAGAAGGCATGCAGCTCCTTGATCGCACGCCGCTTGTCGATCCCTGC